TATGAATAACATAAATGTTTTGCATTCAGAGGGAATTTACCAGGCAAATAATAAGCTGAAGACCAGGGTGTGCATTACATTTTCATAAAGGTTTGTTTACTTAGCTACTTGGTGGTCAAATATTTCAGTTTATTTCTGTTCTGCTCTAAATGGCTTCAGTTCTAAAAAAGTTGCTGTCTTTCCTTTTATATCATTTGTTTTCAAATAAGTGCAGGGTAAAATCCTGTGATAGCATTTTTTTTCTTTTTAGTAATGAAGAGCCTTCTGAGAGTACTATGTTTAACAAAATTGAGCTCATTCTTTTTCAAGGTAATCTGTTTCTAGGAATTACTGAAAAGTAAAGGGAAACTTTCCATAACACGTTCGATTTTTAGCACCCGAATCAGACCTTGAAAGAGCTGTGCCATTACAAATAGGAACCACATCTTATTGTTTTACTACTTATTGAAGCATGGGTGACAGAATGTCACATCCTGAATTCAGCATTGACACTGTATTACACTGTCATTGACACAGCATTGACACTGTTGAGATTCTTTTGGTTGCAAGTGAGAGAAACCCAATTTAAACAAGGTCAAGAATAAAGGGAGGGCCAGGCACAGTGGCTCATGCCTGTAATCCCAGCACTTTGGGAGGTCTAGGCGGGTGGATCACTTGAAGTCAGGAGTTTGAGATCAGCCTGGCCAACATGGTGAAACACCATCTACTAAAAATACAAGAATTAGCCAAGTGTGGTGGTGCATGCCTGTAATCCCAGCCACTTGGGAGGCTGAGGCAGGAGTATCCCTTGAATCCAGGAGGTGAAGGTTGCAGTAAGCCATGATGGCACCATTGTACTCCAGCCTGGGTGACAGAGTGACACTCTGTCTCAAAAATAAAAAAAAAATAAAAAAAGAATAAGAGGAAGATTGAGAAAACCAAGGAAAAGATAAGTGTGAAGACTTGGGAATGACAAGATCCAGGAGCCATCCCACTGGCAGAGCCCTCTGTTTCTCTCATTTCAAATCTGTGCTTCCCAGTGCCTGTTGGCTTCGTTCTCTCCTAAACAGACTTTCTTCACATGGAGGAACAGAGGGCCTGTTGGACTCATTCCTCCCGCTCAGCCACAAGTAAGGGAAGAGAATCTCTCTCCACGATCTAGTTTTAGCGGTCTCAGGGAAGAAGAATTCTGATTGTTCTGGCTTGGTTCACAAACTCACTTCTTGAACCAGTCACTGCACCTAAAGGGGCAGAGTCTGTATCAGAAGAAAGGATAGAAGCACACACAGATGACCATCCGTCCAACCTGTGAAGCAGGTAGGCTTGGGGGGCTGTAGGACATCCACATGAGGCAGTGAGGCAAAATCTGGACATGTGAGCCTAAGGCTCAGAGGACAGCACTGAACTAAACACATTCTGTCTGATGGCTCAGAAAGTCGCTGATTGCCTTAACAAAATTAATGGCAGGATTTATTCCACACGCTCAGTAGATAGATTAATCCATGATCTTTATTCTCAGATAACCCTTCATATGTGTGTTAATAGAGGCTTAACTAGGATCAGACAGTGAAGTTCATAGTTATAAAATAAATTGTTTTTAAAAGAAAGCAGGCCAGGCCAAGTGGCTTATGCCTATAATCCCAGCACTCTGGGAGGCCAAGGCGGCCAGCAGATCACTTGAGGTCAGGAGTTTGAGACCAGCCTGGCCAGCATGGCAAAACCCTGTCTCTACTAAAAATACAAAAATTATCCAGGCATGGTGGTGCACACCTGTACTTCCAGCTACTCAGGAGACTGAGGCAGAAGAATCGCTTGAATCCGTGAGGCAGAGGTTGCAGTGAGCTGAGATTGCACCACTGCACTCTAGCCTGGGTGACAGAGTGAGACTCTGTTTCAAAAAAAAAATTTTTTTTTTAATAAATAAAAATAAATAACTTTAAAAAAATAAAAAAGAATGTCGGCCAGATGCAGTGGCTAACTCATGTAATCCCAGCACCCTGGGAGGCCAAGGCAGGTAGATCACTTGAGGTCGGGAGTTCAAGACCAGCCTGGCCAACATGGTGAAATTCGTCTCTACTAAAAATACAAAAATTAGCAAGGTGGGGTGGCAGGCACCTATAGTACCAGCTACTCGGGAGTTTGAGGCAGGAGAACCACCTGAATCCAAGAGGCAGAGGTTTCAGTGAGCCAAGATTGTGCCATTGCAGTCCAGCCTGGGAGACAGGGTAAAATTTTTATCAAAAAAAAAAAAAAAAAAGTAAAAACAAAGAAGAATGTAAACTCCACGAGGAAGTTTTTGTCTGCTGTACTCACTGCCCTGTTGTCAGTGTCCAGAGCAGTGCCTATGCCTGTCACTAGTAGATGCTCAATAAATATTTGTGGAAAGAATAAATGAATGAGCGAATAAGCAAATAATATTTATTCTGTCCGCAAATCCTTAGGAGGGCAGAAATTATGTACAAGTTAATTATACCAAATTTCGATTTTTGGGTTCATATTTCTGGGCTCTTTGTATTTTTTTTTTCTTTTTTTAGACACAGTCTTGCTCTGTCACCCAGGCTGGAGTGCAATGGCGCAATCTCGGCTCACTGCAACCTTCACCTCCTGGGCTCAAGCAATTCTTCTGCCTCAGCCTCCCGAGTAGCTGGGATTACAGGTGCCTGCCACCACGTCCAGCTAATTTTTTTGTATTTTTAGTAGAGATGGAGTTTCGCCATGTTGGCCAGGCTGGTCTTGAACACCTGACCTCAGGTGATCCACCCACCTTGGCCTCCCAAAGTGCTAGGATTACAGGTGTGAGCCACTGTATACGGCCACTATTTGTATATTATTTATTCTTGCTGCTGGCTTTTCCAGTGGATTTTTCCTGTATGGGCAAGGAGGAGGAGTTAAGAAAATGGAGCAAAAATGATGGCCCTGGGTTCTGGCCCCACTCTGTTGGTGATAATAACAACTAACATTGAAATTTTCTTCCAGAGTTATTGCATTTGGTTCTCAGAATATCCCTGTGAAGCAGGTGTCATTACTTTCATTTTCAGATAGAGAAACAAGTTTAGAGAGACTCTCCCAATACCACTCAAGTGGCATTAAATCAGTCTCCATCTAAACCTCGGTCTTACCATGCCAAAGTCCATGTTTATTCCATAGCACCTGGCTGTCTCCCTCACTGGTCGTGTAAGCTGAGAAAGCCACTTCCCTTTTCTGGGCCTCAGTTCCTGCAACTGGAAGAATGCCTAGGTAAGCTCCTAGATTTCTTTAAATTTTATGAGTCTAGGAGCCTTTTTTTCTTGATCGTCTTTTTTATTTTATAAGACAGAGTTTTGCTCTTGTTGCCCAGGTTGGAGTGCAATGGCATGAGCTTGGCTCACTGCAACCTCTGTCTCCTGGGTTCAAGAGATACTCCTACCTCAGCCTCCTGAGTAGCTGGGATTACAGACACCCACCATCACACCCAGCTACTTTTTTGTATTTTTAGTAGAAACGGGATTTCACCATGTTGGCCAGGCTGATCTTGAACTCCTGAGCTCAGATGATCCACCCACCTTGGCCTCCCAAAGTGCTGAGATTACAGGTGTGAGCCACTGAGCCTGGCCCTCCATCATCTATTTTTAAAATTGCTATAGCTTTAAGAAGTACTAAAATCATGAAATGTGATTCTGATTGTAATTGCACAGCTCTTTCAAAGTCTGATTCAGGTGCTAAAAATCATATACAGTATGTACAACTTCCCTTTACTTTTCAGTAATTCCTAGAAACAGAATACCTTAAAAAAGAATTAGTTTGATTTTGTTAAACATAGTGCCCTCAGAGGGGTCCTCATTATTAAAAAGAAAAAAAATGCTATGAGAGGATTTTACTCTGAACTTATTTGAAAACAAATGATGTAAGAGGAAATATGGCAACTCTTCTAGAAATGAAGCCATTCAGGCAGAATAAAAATAAATTAATTGGAAATATTTGACCACCAAGTAGCTAAGTAAACAAACCGTTCTGAAAATATAATGCAAGATAAGGTCTTCGGTTTATTATTTTGGTAATTCCCTTTGTATGCAGAACATTCATGTTATTCACACAGCCTTGTCTGTTTAAACACAGTGATTACACTGCTATTGAGCATCAGGGCAAGCAGAGCTGTGTTTTTTTCCCACAGGATATTTTGTTTTGTCTCCAACTTTTATTTGTGGCCATATAGAAGTACATGAAAAAACTTTACACAGAAAAATCCGTATTTGCACATCCTTTTGGGGGCTTTATTTTTGCTAAAAAGTAGAATTCACACAGGCCAAAAAAAAAAAAAACACATGCAAAATATTTTTGTGCACACCTTTAACAGGCTACATTCCACTTACGAAATCTTACTAAAACAAAACAAAACAAAAAATTCCAAAGCCAGAATACTGGGTTAAAAAGCTAACATTATAAAAGCTAGGTTCCTAACACAAACACTGCAGATAAAAGTCACTCCATTGCAAAATGTTTATAAATATTTTTTGTTCTTTTTTGTTTTTGAGATGGAGTTTCACTCTTGATGCCCAGGTTGGAGTGCAGTGGCACTATCTCTGCTCACTGCAACCTCTGCCTCCAGGGTGCAAGAGATTCTCCCACCTCAGCCTCCTGAGTAGCTGGGACTACAGGCGTCTGCTACCATATTTGGCTAATTTTTGTATTTTTAGTAGAGATGGGGTTTCACTATATTGGCCAGGCTGGTTTCAAACTTCTGACCTCAGGTGATCCACCCGCCTTGGCCTCCCAAAGTGCTGGGATTGCAGTCATGAGCCACTGCACCTGGCCTATAAATGTTAAATTAATGTCAGCAATGAGGAGACAGGAACTGTAGCTTCAAACTGTGCTCCCCACCACGGATTACGAAAAATGTTTGGCGTTCTAGGACATCCACAATGTAAACTTGAACTAGAGAGCCTTACTCCTAACACTACACCAGACTCACAGACACTGAGTGAGCCACATTCAAAACTACCTTCTTTTCCTGCTACCTTTTTTTTTTTTTTTGCTTTTTAAAATTTTTTTTTTCTGGCAAATAAGAGTCCCTCAGAATCTATACGTGCTCTGAAATGTAGAAATGTAATAAAGGACTGTGGTGAAACTGTCCTTGGAGATATTTCACTTTTCTTGTTAATGATCATACACTTTTTAATGATCGTGTGTGTATGTGTGTGTGTGTGTGTGTGTGTAAAATCTTTAAAAAGAGATTTTGGAAACTGAATTCTAGGGAACTTTTTTTTTCCTCAAGACCAGTCCCTGATAACTGAATAGACAGTTTTTGGAGAAAACTACTTAGAGCCTGTCTGTACAGTCAGCAACCTCCTTGTTCCTGCCCATTTGAACTTTCTGAAAATCACAGAATGCTCCAAGGCACTTGTCTGCAACTCCTGACAAATCTCCAAGTAATCCCAGCTCTGCCTGGTGCTTTGTATTCACCTTCTTGCAGATCCAAAGGTAGGAAGGGCCCTGTGGCAGGAGCACATTCATGTCTCTCCCTGGTGCTTCCTGGGGGAGATTGGTGGCTTTGTGCTTGGAAAAAATAGGGGCTTCCTGCTAGGGACACAGCTAGCTGCTTCCTTCTCCTGCTTGGAGAAGAGACACTCGTGTAAGATGGCAGTCCCCTGGAAGTCTCAGTCCTTAGAAGAAAAGAATTCTAATGCATTCCCATAAAACAATTCAAACGTGCAAAGAGAAAAATCAAAAACGGGAGCGAAGACAGAGTACAGTGAGTTGGAAAAGACCCTAAATATCGTGCTCAAGTGAGAAACATCCACGCAAACCGCCTGCTTCAATGCCATGTTCAATGAGCATATTAACAGAGCTTCCTAAAAAGGAAAGTGACTATTCCATTTCCAACTGCAGAATCTAAGCTGCCTTCTTTATCACCAGACAGCTTTAAGATGCTTACCTAACTCAAACTATCACTAGTATCGTAAAGAAGTTTGAAGGCCCAAGTCTACTTCAATAAATACTTAAATAATAGCTCATCAACTCAGCTCATACATTTTCAAAATATTGGCCAAAACAGCAAATGCATATATATCAGTGCATCTCTTCCTTATAGCAGTTAACACAATCGTACATACTCAATGTGCTGCATTTAAAGGAACATTTGAAAAGGATGGTACAGACCTGAAGGTTGGAGGTCCTGTCTCCTCGTGTGTTCTTACTGAGGGTGGCAGAAAGTAAGTTTCCTCTTCCCCACCCAGAGTTTGGACCTGTGAGCCTATTCTGCCATCCTGTTTCAGACACTGTCTCTGTGTCTCTCTTTTCCACAGGCCACCAAGCCTGTTTGAGATGGAAGGTACTGGGGGAGACATCATAAGTGACCAGTCACAGGTTGGAGTGAAATTCATGCACACGACTGGACGCTTATGCTAACGTACCTCTAAAAGCTAAACAAAGGCCAAAGACAACCCAGAGCCTTTTAAAAAATCTCTCACACACTGCAAAGCAAAACTGGAAAAACCCAATTCTACTTTCCCATCGCAATTCAAAAAGGAGCTAAGCCCTCTGGGGACGTTGGATGTTTCAGACTGAGAGAGGGTGGCTGACAGGGCCATCTTTTCTCAGCTGTCTGCAACCTGAGCCGCAGCCCTTCCTGGAGCCTGGCAATTGCCCAGTGGCTCCCAGAAGACATATCTTTGGACGTCCGGGCTCCCATTAGAATGTTTCAAGTTTGTTCAAGGTCTGAAGTCTGATGCGCAGAGGTAGCTCCATGACGTTAGTAATGGAATAACACTTCCTTTTTTGGTGAGGAAAGCCCAATGGGTCTTAGCTAACAAGCTCTCAGCTATGACTCTAAAAATACCCTGCAGCGAGTGCTGTTTGGCACTTCAATTTGTTTGCCAGGGGAGCGCTTAAGAACTCCACAGAATGCTTCAGATTCTCCACAGCTGCTCTGAGCTCTGTCCTCCTCTGGTGACCGCAGGAAGTGTATCGCTTTGGGAAAGCTGCTTGTTGCTTTTCACTTTTGAGTTCTTGGAATTCTGCTCTAAACATCTGAAGTACAATTCCAGTCTTGGATTAATAACTAACTTGGTTTTGAATCTTCATTTGGCTCCTAGTCTGAACTATGCAAATACATGATCTGTGTACAGAAGAAAAAAACCTAAAATTATACTTCCAAAGGGCTCAGTCACTTCCTCTCTCTCCCCGTTCCCCCCAGAAGAAACATCAGCCTCCCGAATCCTTTGTTGCCAGCAGCAGGAGCAGCTCCGGGCCTTGTCAGCACAGGCGGCCTTGGCCGCCTACACATTGATGGTGTGTGCATGCTTCTTGCACAGGGGTCTGTCTTTCTTAGAGTAGAACGGCTGCCCCTCCAGATTCACATGGCAGACCTGGGACAGAGAACAGACCTGCATAAGACCCATGTGGCAGGGGACATGAGCAGACTTCAATCACTCCTTTAAGAAAAAGCCCTGGCGGACACGGTGGTTTACTCCTGTAATCCCAGGACTTTGGGAGGCCAAGGCCGGCAGATCACTTGAGTTCAGGGGTTCGAGACCAGCCTGGTCAACATGGCAGAACTCTCTCTCCACTAAAATACAAAAAATTAGCCAGGCGTGGTGGCAGGCACCTGTAGTCCCAGCTTCTCAGGAGGCTGAAGCAGGGGAATCGCTTGAACCCTGGGCAGCGGAGGTTGCAGTGAGCTGAGATCGCATTGCTGTACTCCAGCTGGGCAACAGAGCAAAGCGCCGTCTCAAAAAGAAAAGAAAAAATTACCCAGGTGTATTAGCACACACCTGTAATCCCAGCTACTCAGGAGGCTGAGGCAGAAGAATCACCTGAACCTGGGAGATGCAGGTTGCAGTGAGCTGAGATTGTGCCACTGCACTCCAGCCTGGGCAACAGAGCAAGACTCTGTCTCAAAAAAAAAAAAAAAAAAGAACAAAGAAAAAGCCCTGCCCCATGCATTCCAGAGAAAAGGCAACAACCTATTTCTCCCATTTTGAATTTTTTTTTTTTTTTGAGATGGAGTTTTGCTCTTGTTCCCAGCCTGGAGTGTAGGCATGATCTTGGCTCACCACAATCTCCACCTCCCAGGTTCAAGCAATTCTCCTACCGCAGCCTCCTGAATAGCTGGGATTGTAGGCAATGTGCCACCACACCCGGCTAACTTTTTGTCTTTTTTTTAGTAGAGACGGAGTTTCTCCATATTGGTCAGGCTGGTCTTGAACCCCTGACCTCAGGTGATCCACCTGCCTTGGCCTCCCAAAGTGCTGGGATTACAGGAGTGAGCCACCGCACCCGGCCTCTCCCACTATGAATTCTTAATGACGGAAGCAGAATACGTGGGTTGGACTATATAAAAACTAAGATTCCTGAAGAACACAGAATAGAATCAAATGAAATTAATTAAATTTAACGAAAAAGAGAAAATACACACTATGAAGCTGACCAATTCATGCTATACAAAATGTATAGTCAAAACAAGTTCACAAGTCAATACCCACAGAGAGGATTAACACCTAAAGAAAATCATTAAAAAACTAACAAACACATCAGAGAAGATTATACTCACTAATAATTAAAGAAAAAGCAAATTAAAACTGCCCTAAGGCCAGGTCCAGTAGCTCATGCCTGTAATCCTTACACTTTGGGAGGCTAAGGCAGGAGGATCGTTTGAGGCCAGGTGTTTGAGACCAGCCTGGGCAACACAGTGAGCCTCTGTCTCTACCAAAAAAAAAAAAAGAAGAAAATTAGTTAAAAAAAATTATAAGAAAAACCACCCTGAGATATCACTAGACACCTATTAATCTAGCAAGATAAATAAAACAGAAAAACCTCAATGGCTTGTCACCTTTAACCTAACATGCCTCTATCCAAAAAGCTTTAAAAAAAAAAAGTACTCAATAAAAAATCAGCAATGCCAAAAAGAAACAAGGCCTACTGGTGCATTGCTAGGAATACAGGAGTCAGCTCAGTGTTCCGCAGGGAATCTGGCCATATTGAACAAGAGCCATGGAGATGTGCCTACCCTGTAACCCAGTAATGCCACACTGGAGAATTTTATCCTGCAGAAGCAACTCTGCAGAACACAAAAGCAACGTGTGCTCAACTAGAAACTGAAAACTACTAAAATTTCTCTCAATAGAGAGATGATTCAGTAAATTTTCATGGTGCATTTTCCCAGTGGAATGCCACCATTAAAAAAGATAGATATGGAGCCAGGCGTAGTGGCTCATGCCTGTAATCCCAGCATTTTGGGAGGCCAAGGTGGGAGGATCACAAGGTCAGAAGATTGAGACCATCCTGACCAATATGGTGAAACCCCGTCTCTACTAAAATAAAAAAAAACAATTAGCTGGCCGTGGTGGCACGCACGTGTAGTCCCAACTACTCGGGAGGCTGAGGCAGGGGAATCACTTAAACCAGAGAGGCGGAGGTTGCAGTGAGCCAAGATCACGCCACTGCACTCCAACCTGGCAACAGAGTGAGACTCTGTCTCAAAAAGAAAAAAAAAAGATAGATATGGAAAAGTATGCAGAGAAAGATGTGAAAAACAAAAGAGATGAAATTCTATATCCCCATAATGACGACACATAGTCTGAGGCTGGAGGCATCCCACAAGAAGAGAACTAATTAATATCTGCGGGGGCTACCATGTATCAAGCAGGATGCCAGACACTATATACAGCAGCTCATTTAATTTTCACACAAACCTTATAAGGTAGGTATGCCTTTCTCCCATGTCACAATTGAAAAAACTGGGGCTCAGAGGGCCCGTATGTCTTGCTTAAGTCACAGACCTAGTAAGCTGTAGAGCTGGGAATCTCTGTCCACGTCTGTAAGGCTCCAGTTCTATGCTAATTTTTCCCATACCCCATAGCAGAAAGGGGCTGTGTTTCCTTGAAATTGTTCTGGGCTCATGGTTTGTATAGAGTTAGCCCTCTGAATTTGCTGGACTACTAGTATGTAAGCTGGGCCCTGGGTTGGCAATATGCCAATATGTTAGAGTCTGCCAGGAAGTCACACTGGCTGGCATGGGCCCCAGCCTAGGAGAAGGCAGTGAAGATCTCGGCTGGGGGGCAGAATTAGGAGCCATCTGCAGGACACTGATATCAGGAGGAGTGCAGATGGAGTCCCCACATACAGGTATCCCCCATGGAGACAGAGAAATCAACCTCCTGAGTTGAGTGTGGGGCAGTGTGCATGTGCCCAATCCAAGATAGTTGGAAAGGAAAAGGGCACCACGCTGGCCCCGTGTGCAAGGCTCTGACGGCCCAGTTGGGGATGTTATACCTGGGATCACACAGGGCCTCCAGTGGGCCCTGGGGGCCAATCAGCTACAAAAGTGTTTGAAAACATCCCAGGCGGATGCGGTGATGCTGAGTGTAACCAGGCTGGTGTGCAGGCCTCAAGCTGCTGGTGACAATTTAAAGACTAGTGCAAAAAGATGGACACTCAAGACCTAACTGGTGAGAATGGCCTTTAGGGAAGACAGAAAGGCAGCTCTGGAGTGAGTCAGCCTGTCAATGACTGCAGCTCTGGCTGGGAGACCCTACCTGGTCTGGGACAATGCTGGTTGCTTGTGAGAACATTTGGATGAGTCAGGCTGGGGAGGGAAGGTGTCCAGAGACTGAAGACCAATGAATGAGGAAGGGACAGAACCTCAAAGATGGCTCATAGGTGAGATTGGGTTGAGGCTGGGAACCCTCATAGGGAGTTGTGCCCAGTGTCTTCTTCATGCATGGTGGCTTCATGGTGGAGGAGGCCTCTTGCCCACGCCAGCACAGGTGTTAACAGGGATGGTCCAACCTTCAGGCTCTGTGGCTGGGTAGCATCAGGGCCTGGCTATAAAGGGGTGGCGACCATGGACAGTGCTGACTGCAGGTCCCAGCAGAGTTAGGGTAATAAACTAGGCCAGCTGCAGCAGCCCCTAGGACTGCCTACAAAAGTTATACCACCGCCCATCCCCTCCTGATACCCACACCAGTGGGGAAGAGCAAGACTTAGAGCAAAAGAGGGATTGGTAAGACATTCTTCCTCCTTTTATTCTTCCAACCTTATTAGTAAGGTTGGACCCTTTCCATTGGAACTCAAGTGCAGACACCAGACAGAAGCTTAACTTTCACCCTGACCCACACTGCACTTTTCAGGCTCCCAGCCTTCATTTTATATGCCTTGGACTTGAGGGATACTGTCCTGTTCTACTTCTTAATTGCTCACGTCTGTTGGCTTTGTTCGCCTTTCAAGATTCTAGATTCCGCGAAGGTGGAGACTTGTTCTGGGATGCTCTTGTACTCCCCCACTGCCAGGAATGGTTGATAAACTGAATTAGTCTAAAGAAGGTGAGAAAACAGCACATCAGCTGGGAGAGCTACTCCAGATCTCTCTTACTAATTATTTGGAAGTCACAGGAAAATACATGCTCATCAAAAGTGATTTGGAAATATGAAGTGATATAAAGAGGTCCAAAAAAAAAATCCCTCAAGTCCCTCAAAGTTTTCCAATAAAAGATTTCTTCCCAAAGTTAAGAACCATGTTCCACTTTGCTATACGTTGACAGGGCAATGTGCCATGCAAGCTGGGCTGGAGGGAGACCTAATGATCTCCGTGCTGATCCTCCAAAGGGCAGTGCTATGGGCCTCTCACAGGATAGACTTCACTCTCTGGAACCTATACGTAATACCAGCCTGAGCCACCCCAAGCTTTACAGCTTCTTCTGGTCTCTCTCTTGGACTTTTGCTGTTGTGACTCAGCTGAAAATGTGAGGCTTGCGGGAGCAGACCCACACTTACCTTTGCCACGATTCCCTCTGCATGTGACACAGATCTCTCATCAGCCTGCCTGTGGAAAACAGGCCTTCTGTGCCACTATCTTCCTAGACCTTCCCCAAGTGTCTTGGATCCTTCCAGAAGTTGGGTAACCAGATGTACAGGCAGTGCCTCAGGACTACACAAGCCATGGCTTGAATGTAAGGTTCAGAGAGCCCCGTGCTGTGCCTGACACAGGGGAGCTATGACTCTGCAGGGAACAACCCCAAAGTCAGTCTATTTACACCATCGTCTCTTTTTGGAGGGGATGTATTTAAAACACCCTCAAAGACAAAACTAGAGAATCTGTTCAAAGAGCTGAAACATCAGAAAGTTAAGGGGTTGAATTGTATTCCACAAAAGCCACATGCTCTAGTCCTAATCTGTCATCTAGCCTACCCAGCACAGGGATGTAGCAGTGACCTTATTTGCATATAGGATCTTTACAAATGTAATTAAAATGGAAGTTAAAATGAGGTCTGGAGGCTGGATGCGGGGGCTTATGCCTGTAATCCCAGGAGTTTAGGAGGCCGAGGCAGATAGATCACTTGAGGCCAGAAGTTCAAGACCAGCCTGGCCAACATGATGAAACCTCATCTCTACTAAAAATACAAAAATTAGCCAGGCATGGTGGCATGCACCTGTAATCCCAGCTACTCGGGAGGCTGAGGCATAAGAATCACTTGAACCCAGGAGACAGAGGTTGCAGTGAGCTGAGATTGTGCCACTGCACTCCAGCCTGGGCAACAGAATGAGACTGTCAAAAAAAAAAAAAAAAAAGAGAGAGAGAGAAAAAGATGAGGCCTGGAATAAGGTGAGCTTTTGATCCAATATGACCAGCATCCTTATAAGAAGAGGAAAAGAAGGCCGGGTGCAGTGGCTCACACCTGTAATCCCAGCACTTTGGGAGGCCAAGGTGGGCGGATCACCTGAGTGAGGTCAGGTGTAAAGAGACCAGCCTAACCAACATGGAGAAAGCCTGTCTCTACTAAAAATACAAAATTAGCTGGGCATGGTGGTGCATGCCTATAATCCCAGCTACTTGGGAGGCTGAGGCAGGAGGGTCACTTGAATGTGGGAGGTGGAGGTTGCAGTGAGTCGAGATTGTGCCATTGCACTCCAGTCTGGGCAACAAAAGCGAAATTCTGCCTCAAAAAATAATAATCGTAATAATTGTAATATAGTATTTTGTAAATGTTGAAATAAATTCTTTAGAAAAAAAGAAATATAGAAAACATGTACAGAAACAGAAAATGTTTCTATATATAGAATATAGAAAAATCAATTTTAAAAAAGTATACCTCAATATTAAGGCTTTAGTGACAAACCAGAGAGTAAGGTGATGTTCAACCCCACTTTGTCAAATGCTTGAAATTCATTTGTAGTTGCCAGCTATTATGGAAGTTTTGATGGTTCCCAGAGAGAGAAGGAAGTGTCTGGTTGAGGCGCCTTTCCCCTAATCCAGTGTCTCCTAAAAGCACAGAACCTTGGTAATTTAAGCAAGATACCTTTCTGGTATGCCTAGAGGCACCTAACCATGACAGAGTTAGGACAAATATAGTAGATTGTACACACACAAGAGTTTCATGTAACAAGTAAAACCAAGGTTTCTTTCAAAGCTTAGGGTTTCTTTCATGTTAAATATACAGTCTTATTTTTAGATAGGAAGAACACCAGGCTGAAGCAAGCAGTGTAATATAATCTTGTACTGTCTTGAAGGAAATTAGCCAGGGAATTGATTCATGTTTAGCCATGTCATTCCAGGAATCCTTTAAGCTGTCTATAGGGAGCTAATACTTTCTGAAAGTAATTTTGTCCAAAAGAAACAAAGACTTATGATGTAGAAAAGACGGACATTGGAGGCATGTTTCAATTCAGTTACATTCTCTCTCTCTCTTCTGTCTGATATATGACATACAGTACACATTTTAGAAATTTAGGTGACTTCAGTGATATTTCAAGATTTTCCTTACAATTGACAACTGAATATAAAGTTCAGAAATTTGGTAGTGAGTAAAGAGGTGGAATATTTACCTGTCCAACTCTTGGAATCCTTCCCAAGGCATGCTCCTAAAAGCGGAGTGTTTAGCTAACTCTTGTAAATGCAAGGATTTATCAGGCCTTTGCCATCTGGTTCCAAGTGTTATGCACATGAGGTCATGATTTCAATCCCCATATAACACAATTAATTGTACCTTATTTCATAACCAAGCTACATTGTCCTACATTGAATTGGTGTTTGTAAGGAGACAGCATGAGGTAGGGCCTGGGAAGGAAGAAACATGGGGCTAGAAGCTCCTTTGACTGATCCCTTATGCCATTAAGTTTACCAGAAAGATCAGGTAAGAAAGGAATTATCAATCATTCACTGTAAATTCATCACTAGTGTGGGAGGAGACTTTTGTGTATGAAGGACAGTTCATTTCCAATTAAAATATATATGAATAAAATCATATTATCATTAACCTCTGCCTTTCTCTTTCTTTTTTCTTTCTTTCCCTTCCTTCCTTCCTTTTCTTTCTTTCTTTCTCTCTTTCTTTCTTTCTCTTTCTTCCTTTCTTCCTTCCGTCTTTCTTTCTTTTTCTTTTCTTTTCCTTCCTTCCTTCCTTCCTTCC